ATAGGTTTTAACTCTTCTCTACTCTTTTGGACTCATCCAGACAAAAAAAATGGGCTATACATACACTTTAAGCCTTGAGATACATACAAGGAGCACAGTCCCAAAGGTAACCACAGTACTTTATGTTTGAGGCAAATGCCCAGGTGCTCACCCACAAAAAATATACATACAAATCCAAAACTGGTATAGAAGCACTTGCAGAGAAGATAGATTAAAAATGGCAGCATATAGGTAGCACAGTGGCTAAGACATTAGCACTTCCGCCTAGAACATTGCGGGTTGCTGGTTTGAATCCCAACCATGACACTACCTCCCTAGAGTTTGCATATTCTCCCTCTGCCTGTGTGGGTTTCTTCCCACACTCCAAAGACATGCTGGTAGGTTAATTAGATTCTGTCTAAATTGGCCATAGTATGTGTGTGTATGAATGTGAGTTAAGGACCTTAGATTGTAAACTCCTTGAGGACAGGGACTGATATGAATGTACATTATATTCTGTATATGTTAAGCACTGTGTAAATTGACAGTGCGATATAAGTACCTGTAATAAATGTTATTATCAACATTTCGATAAAGCACAGTTCATCTTTCTCAAGGCCTGCTCGTGGAGTTTTTCATCCAAGCAGTGCTGCAGTTTAGCAATCCACATCAGTAACGTTTGTTAGTAACCTTATGGTTTGGGAACCCCTTGGCTTAATAATGCAGGAAATCCCAAACACACCCACTTTAGGCTGTCCCATACAAACAGCCTGATATATCAAAGTCACCAGTATCTGCCATGGCAGATTTAATCCGACTGAGGAAACATCAAAAAGACAGGATGTTACAGAGCACAGAAGTACGATGCAGAGTAAACCTACCCACCCCACTTGCAAGTAGCTCTGCAGTGACCTGTCAATGCTATTCAACATAATGTTCCTGAAATGAAAAGTCCACTCAATTTTCTAACATCCAATGCAGTCAGATTTAAGATTCTGATTGGGCTTTTGGATGGAACCATAATCTTTTGTCAAACAATTCTGGGCTATGCAACCCTTTTTTGTTGGTGTGTGTGTATTTGTGGCAGGAGTAGGCTGTGCCACCACCATATAATTCACCTGTTGAGTAGGTACAGCATGGTGCAGCGGCAGAAAGCACGTTGGTTTGCCAAAAACAATGTATTGCAAAACTTGTAAAACAGAACAAACAAGCCCAGTGGCCAGGCCAAGCTGACCTGGACACTTACAACAGTTCAAAGCAGAGTCAGTGGTCTGTAGGCTCAAGCTGCCGACAGCTCTTTGTCATGGGGAGCAGAATGCAGCTTGGCCGGTCCCAAAGTCCCCCGGGTGACCAACCCAAAGTGGAGCCTCCAAACGATCACAAAACTTAGGCCTTACTCTTTCCTTACTCCTTCCAAAGTTCTCCCTGTCACTTGGCTTGTCCTTACACTAGCCACTTGCACATTGTGTGCCAAAACCCAGCAGCAGGGACCTAAGTTGGCCACCAGGGTCACCTGGATCCAACGCATCCAACCGGATCACTGCTCCAGGAGACCAAGGAAACCATAGAGAAACCCATTTTCTCCCGACTTCCTCTTCTAGCTGCATTGAGTGTCACCTACAATGGAGACTGAAGACTGTACCTGCCTACACACCACCATATATTATTGCAGGCTAATATTTTGAGATTTTATATTAAAATCAAATGAACATTCTGAAAAGGAAAATCTTGGAATGCAATTCTACCAGTGTTAGGCCAGCATTACTGCACTATTGCAAACAGTGTGTTAGGCCCTTCTAGTTGTTATCTTGGAGTGCACAATTGTTAGCCTTTATTTAGAGATATTATTTAGAGTGGGAGGAGCTGAATAGTTTAGCAAAAGGTACTGGGCAGGGCTGACACCACTCAGTCCACACAAATGCTAATCCCAAATCCCAAATGGGATTCAGGAGTAGGGTGTGGTTCTGGTGGATCAACAGGTATTTTCTGCACTTGCAGGTGATAGAACATGGTGGAATGTGCATGTGTTGCAGGGATGCACTGAACATGTTTTTTCGCCCTTTCTGGCTTAGAAACAGTTCAAACCACAATAGAGATTTCTTCTTTTCCTTTGCTACCGCAGACATGGAGCCACAGCAAAGCATTCTGAACAAGATACAGTTGTGACCAAAATTATTCAACCCCCACTGAAATTGAGTGTTTTGGCCAGTTTGACATTGCTTTTGATCATTCAGTTCATCTTGCTTACATTTACATTAAAGAGGCACTTGTAGGTCAGACAAATATAACATAACAGTGTTATAATGAAATAACCACAAATGTCTTTTCTGTGCTCACAGCATTATCAGTTTTATTCAACCCCCAAGTGACATTCAATCTTAGTACTTAGTACAGCATCCTTTTACAGTTATAACAGCTTTTAAACGTGAAGCATAGCTTGACACAAGTGTCTTGCAGCGATCTACGGTATCTTCGCCCATTCTTCATGGGCAAAGGCCTCCAGTTCAGTCACATTCTTAGGCTTGCGCACTGCAACTGCTTTCTTTAAGTCCCACCAGAGGTTCTCAATCGGATTTAAGTCTGGTGACTGCGATGGCCACTCCAAAATGTTCCAGCCTTTCCTCTGCAACCATGCTCTAGTGGACTTGGAGGTATGCTTGGGATCATTGTCCTGTTGAAAGGTCCAACGTCTCCCAAGCCTCAGGTGTGTGACGGACTGCATCACGTTTCCATCCAATATCTCCTGGTACTGAAGAGAATTCATGGTACCTTGCACACGCTGAAGCTTCCCTGTACCTGCAGAAGCAAAACAGCCCCAAAGCATGATTGACCCTCCACCATGCTTCACAGTAGGCAAGGTGTTCTTTTCATCATAGGCCTTGTTCTTCCTCCTCCAAACATAGCGTTGATCCATGGGCCCAAAACAGTTCTAATTTTGTTTCATCAGTCCACAGAACACTATCCCACAACTTTTGTGGTTTGTCCACATGGCTTTTGGCATACTGCAGTCGACTCTTCTTATTCTTTGGAGACAGCAAGGGGGTACGCCTGGGAGTTCTGGCACGGAGGCCTTCATTACGCAGTGTGCGTCTTATTGTCTGGGCTGAAACTTCTGTACCCACATCTGACAAATCTTTTCTCAGTTCCTCAGCAGTCACACGGGGACTTCTCTCCACTCTACGCTTCAGGTAGCGCACAGCAGTCGAAGTCAGCATCTTCTTTCTGCCACGACCAGGTAGCGTTTCAACAGTGCCCTTTGCCTTGAATTTGCGAATGATGCTTCCTAAGGTGTCTCTTGGTATGTTTAACATCTTTGCAATCTTCTTATAGCCATTGCCCTTCCTGTGAAGAGAAATCACCTCTTCTCTTGTCTTCCTGGACCATTCTCTTGCCTTCACCATGTTTGTAACCACACCAGTAAATGTCTAGAAGGAGCTGAGTATCACAGTCATTTTAAAGCTGCCTAATTGGTGCTTATTATGCTTGATTGCTGCTCGGTGACATCCACAGGTGTTTTCAATACCTGATGGAAAGCACCTGTTGAACCTCTGTTCTTCAGAGTGGTAGTCTTTAAGGGGTTGAATAATTGTGGCAATGAAGAAACCACATAAGAACCATTTACTACTGTATTACATAAACAATTGATGTCATTTTAGTTGCATTTGGGTAGTTACAACGTCCTTGTAGGATTTGATTCTGAATACAATTCCAAATGTACACTATAGTCCCTAAACCCCTTTACAGCATTGGGGGTTGAATAATTTTGGTCACAACTGTAGTTACATCTGATAAGCTGATCGGTGCTATCGTAGTGTATTCATGTCACTGCTTACCACCAGCAGACAGGAAACATTTATGACCTAGTAGGCCTTGGCATGTCTATGTATGTGAATTGCAGCATCTTTTTGGCTGCTAGTACTGTGGTTGATTAAAGTACGTATAATAAATCAAAATCATGGGCAGCACAGTGGCTAAATGGTTAGCAAATCCACCTAGCAGTATTAGGGTTGTTGGTTCAAATCCCAACTACAGCACCACCTGCCTGGAGTTTTCATGTTCTCCCTGTGCCTGTGTGGGTTTCCTCTGGGTACTCTGATTTCCTCCCACACTCCAAAGACATGCTGGTAGGTTAATTGGCTCCTGTCTAAATTGGCCCTAGTATGTGTATGTATGAATGTGAGTTAGAGACCTTAGATTGTGCACCACTTGAGGGTTGAGGACTGATATGAATGTACAATATATATATGTAAAGCCCTGCGTAAACTGATGGTGCTATTTAAGTACCTGTAATAAATAAATAATGGGCATTGGGCAGTTTAGTCAGCCCCATACATAACAGTCTGGCCTCTTCCTCTATACCTATGCATCAGTTTTTGAAGAGTTCAGCTTTTATTACCTTTAAAATAGTTATGGTTTTTAACACATGTGGTCCTATTTTGGGCAGATGTGGACAAAATTGGAATACCCATTTTTTTTATTTTATAACCCAATTCAGTAAAAGTGCTCATTCTGAAATTGGGCTTAGTACAATTAATTCTCCTGAATTACAGTAAATTACAGTAAATTAAAAAGAAAATGGCCAGCTGTTGTAAAAATAAAAAGTGCAGCTCTTGCTACCATTCCCATCTCCTAAGAGACTCCTAAGCCTCCATAGGAAGGGCGAAATCTGGGAAGGTCCTCTCTGCTTGTTTGGAACAATAAAGTTTGTGTTGTGGACATGGCGGTATACAACCTCTTTTTGGAAACGGAGCCCAGAGATTGAACCCGCTGCTGGCTGAGCTTGAAAGCAGCTTTTTGGGGTTTTCAACATTCATCTCCACTTCTGTTAGCTGAATCCTCACCACTTTGCAGACATGTGCTGTAGAAACTGTCACCTCTCCTACTGCTGTTTTTTTTTTTTATCGCTGGTGTTTAATTGGTTGGTATGGGGCTATAAAAAGGGGGCACACTCAAGCTATATGATCTTTTCCATCAATAGGTAACTTAAAGTGGTTGTAAAGACAGAAGGTTTTTTACCTTAATGTAGTCTCTGCATCCAAGTGTTACTAAACCCCGGACCCTGCATTCACTATATCTGGTCTCCCCGGACCCTGCATTCACTATATCTGGTCTCCCTGGACGCTGCATTCACTATATCTGGTCTCCCCAGACCCTGCATTCACTATATCCGGTCTCCCTGGACCCTGCATTCACTATATCTGGTCTCCCCGGACCCTGCATTCACTATATCTGATCTCCCCGGACCCTGCATTCACTATATCTGGCCTCCCCGGACCCCGCATTCACTATATCTGGTCTCCCCGGACCCTGCATTCACTATATCTGGCCTCCCCAGACCCTGCATTCACTATATCTGGTCTCCCCGGACCCTGCATTCACTATATCTGGTCTCCCCGGACCCTGCATTCACTATATCTGGTCTCCCCGGACCCTGCATTCACTATATCTGATCTCCCCGGACCCCGCATTCACTATATCTGGTCTCCCCGGACCCTGCATTCACTATATCTGGCCTCCCCAGACCCTGCATTCACTATATCTGGTCTCTCCGGGACCCTGCATTCACTATATCTGGTCTCCCCGGACCCTGCATTCACTTTATCTGGCCTCCCCGGACCCCGCATTCACTATATCTGGTCTCCCCGGACCCTGCATTCACTATATCTGGTCTCCCCGGACCCTGCATTCACTATTTCTGGTCTCCCCGGACCCTGCATTCACTATATATGGTCTCCCACAGTACACACAACATGGAAATGCAATTATGTTAGTAAATATAAATACCTTTTCTCATCAGCAGGTAGAGCAGTCCTGTGACTTTTCTAGCCATACACACTAAACTGAGAATGTGCAGAGTGACTCCTAGAGCTCTGTACTATCAGCAGATGGTTTGGGGACAGTAGGAGAAGGGGAGGGTCAGAGAAGACAGGATCAAACAGCCTTTTTACACAATGCAGCCTTTAGGTTTCACAGTGAGTACAATAAGCATGCTTTACTGCATATACAGACTGATTTTACTGTAACACTTGCGGTTCTTCCCCAACCCCCCAATACTTACCTGAAACCGATCCAGCAATGTGGACAAGAGCAGAGGTTCTCTTGGCTCTCTCTCTCCTCTCTGGACAGAGAGGCAGCAGCAGAAGCCATTGGCTTTAGCTGCTGTTAACCACAGCCAGTGAGGAGAGAGGGGGCGGGACTGAGCAGCTCTTTGTGAGTCAGTGGACACACAGAGCGTGCTCAGGAGCAAGCACGCAAACAGCTTGCTATAGGGGCACTCGGCAGGGGCCAGGAGAGCAGGTGGGGGACCCAAGAAGAGGAGGATCAGTGCTCCTCTTTGTAAAACCATTGCACAGAGCAGGTAAGCATAGATATGTTTGTTATTTTTTATATATAAAAATGTTGCGTTTACAGTCACATTTATCACAGGCATGTATATAGCGCAGACAACCTACACAACACTTTACATTTTGAACATTCACATCAGTCCCTGTCCTCAAGCAGCTTGCAATCTAAGGTCCCTGTCTCACACACACATATTAGGGCCAATTTAGACAGCAGCCAATTATCCTACCAGCATGTCTTTGACGCATAGGAGGAAACCCACACAAGTGCAGGAAGAACATACAAACTCCATACATATAGTTTTCTGTCTGGGAATTGAACCAAGGACCCCAAAACTACAAGTAGATGTGGTAATTACTAAGCTACTGTGCTGTATCACTCTATATGGAGGTCTAAATTGTGCAGTCAGCCCACTGTATTTTGATTCCTGTAGGCAAATGAGGAAACTTCCATAATTTATGTCCAAAAAAAAAGTAATAGTTAAAAGTACAATGGGTTAAGTAAAGTGCTTTCTGCTGTTTTCATGTTTCTAATAAACTATGATCATGTACAACAACGTCTGACCCTATTCCTTTATACTGAATACTTCATTTCCTTTTCTTTTCAAACAAAAGCAGGATGTGTTTCAAGACTTGCCTAACCTCATATAAATCATGGCAGTATCCAAATTCCCTTTACTCTAGTCTTGTCAATACTCAATTTAAAGGGCCAAAAAACCTAAAACAAAAAAAAGTTAGTTTTTGTAAAAGAGATATATGATGGCGTTGTGTATTAGCTGCCATTGTAAGCCAACAGAGTCCTAGGACAGGAAATCGGGGATGTGTTGGAAAATATCAGTCCACAGTATCCACCTTTGTTTAAAAATATCCACTTCTGATAAGTTCCTGGAGCTTTTAGGTATGTATACATATTTTCCATTAAAAGTGTTCTACGCCAACTTTTAATTTACGGTTAAGGGCTGTGTATACATTCAGTGTAAAATCCAATGTTAGCAGCAGGGGCATATTTACCATAAGGCAAACAAGGCATTTGCCTAGGGCGGCATCTTTCATGGGGGCAGAGCCACCCCCTGAAAAGAAGGGATGGAAGAAGGGACACACGCAGCATATGGACCAGATGGGATCTGAGAGAAGCTGCGGGCTGCTCGATGGTGTATGCAGAGTCTGACTCTTGTTCTCGGGGTTGTCCAGAACTGTGAAAGTGAGTGTCTTCTCTCTCACAGGGTTGGGGGGGGGGGGGGGGGTGCCAGTGTATGGGTGTTAGTGGAAGGCTTTCTTGTGGGGGGGTGCTGGGGTGTTGATGGTCGGTGTCAGGGTCTCTCCGTGGGGGGAGCTAATTTTTGTGTTGCCTAAGGCAGCACGAAACCTAAATACACCACTGGTTAGGAGCAACACAAAATTGAAGAGGGTCAGCATCAATCTACTACTGAGCCTACGGCCTCCTAGAGTGGCTCCATGATAACTTCCTAAAGAGATCCTGTCACCAACTATGCAAACAAAAAAATGGCAGGAAAATGCACAAAAGAAAGTTGTTTAAAGTGGTTCTAAAGGCTCAGTTATTTTCTTTAAAATAATAAACATGTTATATTTACCTGCTCTGTGCAATATTTTTGCACAGAGCAACCCTGGTCATCCTCTTCTTGGGTCCCCTGCTGGTGCTTCTGGCCCCTCCCCCTTGCAGACTTCTCCCAAGCAAGCTGCTTATTCTGGGGGCACTCGTGTATGCTTGCTCCCGAGCTGCCTGTGTGTGTCTATGGGACACACAGAGAGTGGCCCAGTATTGCCCCCTCCCCTCCTCACTGGTTGTGATTGAAAAAGCAGCGTGAGCCAATGGCTCCCACTGCTGTGTCTCAGCCAATGAGGAGGGAGAGACCCAGGAGAGCCTCAGCTCTCATGCATATCCCTGGATCAGGAGCGGCCTCGGGCTCAGGTAAATATTAAGGAGGGCTGGGGAAGGAAAGTTGTACACTGAAGGTTTTTTACCTTCATGCACAGAATGCCTGAAGTTAAAAAAAACCTTCAGCCTTTAGAACCACTTTAAGGCTCCTTTCACACAGACGGACTCTATCCACTGATCCCTGCTGAGCAGGCAGATGACAGGTCTGTGAACGCTCCTCTTATGTAGAGCGGATAGGGACACAGCCTTTTACATCTGACTGTCATCCAATCTGATCCACTAGACGAATGGGGAACGGATCCCCCATCCATCTGTGTTTTTAGTGGATTGGATTAGATGCAGGCGCTCATAAAAAGACACGTCTGTTTACATCTGCCTCTCCATAGAGAACAATGGATAGTCCGATCGGGTCACGCCTGAAAGACGGACCCGATCAGTCTGTCCATGTGAAAGGGGCCTAATTTGAATCTACTCGAGCTGCTGATCCTGCTGATGTCACATCCAAGATGGTGGCACTCAGCTGCAGTTTCAGGGCTTTGAGATGTCTAAACAAGTGAGACTTTTACAAGTGTAGCCCAGACCCCAGGCCGTGTTTAATGCTGATTCAACTTAGGTAGAGTGCAGGGTGAGCCTTGGGATACTTCATACTTAGCAGAAAAGATAATGGAGGATACATCTAACTGTAGTGTTTCTTCAGGGTGCAGCCAGACTGTTGAAGATAGTAATAGTAAACTACAGCTCAGGGGTCCCCATTGCAAAGGTAAAACCTGAGCCAGTGAACTGGGAGCAGAATCCCAAACGTTAGCAAGGACAGTGTCTGGGATCTTTTCAGGCTTGTACTTGCTGTGCCCTGTACTTGAATTCTTTCCTGCAGTGCCAGACAGCTCCTCTACTGTGTGGCTCCAGCTCAGATCCTCTGTGGATTTCCTGCAGCTGCTTTTATGAACTTGGATGTGGGTCTTCTAGCTCTAACTGGAGTTGGGACCCAGGTGGCCCCTTCTAAACTTCACCGTTGTGCCCAGAGGGCACAGCCCTCAGGTTAGGTCTTCTCCCACAGAACAAGGACCCTGTTGTTCCAGGCCCCAACCTATTTATACACACCTCAGCCCCCTACTGGCCAATCTCCCTGCCAGGGAATGGCTGAGGCTGTATGAATATGCAAGTGAGGATTTGCTTTCTCCACCCACTAAATTTTGGAACCTATTAAAATTCAGGGGAAAAAAATCAAGCCTGAACCAGCAGAACCCAGAACAGTCAAAAACAATCAAACTTTGCTCTACTGGCTACAGGGGAGCCAAAAACGAAATTTGCCCCAAACTGTTAGCAACCTTGTTAGGAGGGCGCTACACAAGTAAAATAGCATAGCTAAAATATGTTAAATACACATATAACTTATGAGAAGATTTTTGTTGAAATTAAAGGTTTGACTGCAGGGTCTCTTCATTCTGAGGGCTTCTTGAGGCCTGACCACTACAGCTTTTCCTAAACACAGTAATTTTTGGTGGAGAGCTGTGGTCACTAATTATAATAACTCAGAAGTCCCCTGGTTTCAGGGCAATCAAAGTCTTGGGTACACACATATGCTCAATGACTTGACAAAGACTTTAGCCACAACCTATAGTGTTTGTTGTGAATTCCCACTGTCAGGCCTAGTGTTACGTCTTAGAGGACAGATATAGCTAACCAATGATGCTTCCATGCCTAACTGTAGTGATTTATGTTGCAAGAAGACTATGGACTCCTCTCATCTTGCTTCCTTTAAAGTCAACTGGAGACTCCAGTTACAGTCTGGAGTTCAAGGGCTGCAGATTTCTGTAATGTACTTGGAGTACTTGGTGTCATTCTGGACTTCAACCTATCCTTCCAACCCCAAGTCCAATCTTTAACAAACTCGTGCAGACTCCACCTCCGCAACATCGCCAAAATACGCACGTTCCTAACCCCAGAAATCACTAAACAGCTCATCCACTCCCTCATCTTTATCATGACTCGACTACTGCAACTCCCTCCTTACTGGCCTGCCTCGCCGCTGGCTATCCCCGCTTCAGTCGATCCTGAATATGGCTGCCAGACTCATTCACCTTTCCAACCGCTCCATTTCCGCCACCCCCCCTCTGCCAATCCCTCCACTGGCTTCCGATTGTGCAACGGATCAATTTCAAAATCCTAACACTGACGTACAAAGCCGTCCACCATACTGCCCCGAACTACATCACTGACCTAATATCCAAGTACCACCCAGCGCGCACACTCCACTCCTCACAAGACCTCCTTCTCTCTAGTTCCCTGGTCTCCTCCTCCAATGCCCGCCTCCAGGACTTCTCCAGGGTGTCACCCATCCTCTGGAACTCCCTGCCCCAACCCATCAGATTATCACCTACTCTCCTCTCCTTTAGGCGCACCCTGAAAACCCACCTCTTCAGGGAAGCCTACCCCACTCCCTGCTAACTTGCCAA